CAAAGGAGGCTTTCAGTTATGCACTCTTAGGGTTATTATTTTTCAAAAGTGATGAAGCTATACCGACCTAAAACAATCTTTAGACTATTTTAAGTTATTAAAATAAGCTAAATATCTAAAAAGACAGAATATTAAAAGGAAAGAAGAGTGCAAACACTCTGCATTTCTCTTCATTTTCCCGTCTGCTCTTCAAACTGTAGTGTTAATGTTATTAATATTCATTTTCCATGTGTCATGAAAGCCTCATTATGTCACAGCCTAACACTGCTGTTACACTTTGTAGGTATTCTTATAAGGTAAACATTTCAACGTGAGTCATTCATGCAGGAAACCGAAGCAGCCTGTCGTCAGTCCAAAAGGAAATCCTGGCTAATCTCATGTCTGTATCACATTTGAACAAGAAACAAAGTGCGCGACAATGAAAGCAATGCCACACAGAAGACTATACACACGCAGGTGACACAAAAGAAAAGAAATTTGAATAATTTACCCACCGCTTATAAACACATTGGTTAAGAAAACGTGTGGAGTGCTTAAGAGTATCCCAACGGTCGTAAGGTGAGAGGTGGGGTCTGCTGCAGGGCAGTGGCACATTTATCTTTTGAGTAAAGTCAAATTCTATAATTTGACTTCCTTCATTTGTGGTCAATCAATGAGCAGTCTACAAAATCATTTAAATAAAAATCAAAGCTCATAAAATAGAAAAAAATGTATTACTTTAATCTGTTTCTACTTATTTGTGCAATTTCATTTATCATTTATTCCGTTTTATTGGATAAATATGTAGTATTAATTTCTACGTTTGCTTAAAGCTTTTGCATTTTTCCATAATTTTTCATATGGAAAACAGCAGATGCTTGTTTGTTTTGCTGCTATTTGTTCCCTATTTACAAAAATTTACTCTCTGCATCACACTATGTTTGAAAATGCAGTCTAAAATTAAAACTACTAACATTAGACACCAAGATCTGACAGTCACCACTGTTTGGCTCCCATGATAGATTATAGATGTTGATGCAAAAACAACACCTACTAAATGAACAAGTAAACAAAAACAGCATAGCCCTTATTTATAGTAGGATGGATGGAGAGCACGGGATATATTTGTCATGCGTGTACATCAGCATTACACTCCACTGTGCTGCTGAAAGAAGTGAAAAGAAACACAAAGCAGCAAGAAAAAAGTTAAGAAACTGAACTTTAAAGACTTTTTTAAACGACACAGTGATCACGGTTAGGCTGGTTTTAATTATCCATCTATAATTACAATATAAAGCAATATTATATCATTAATTAATTAGAGTTGAGGATTTATATACACTGCTGATTGTGAAGTCGATCACGCGGTGGAATTATGAGGCATACTTTCTGTTTTATTGCGCTTTACAACGGGGTAGACGGGAGCCAATCGGGGACGAGTGCGGCGCCCTACGTCAGACGCAAGGGGCGTGTCAGAGGCGCGTCCGCTCCGGTGTAGTAGCGGAGTTGACTGTAGCGCTCGAGCTCCATTGAAAGTGGCTCCCTGGCTTAGACGCGGTGCGGGCAGACAAGGGGGCGGACCAGCCGGAGGAAAACTTGACAGAGAACAACAGCAGCCGCACCGCTGACCTCCACAGCTGACACTTTTATCAGCGCGAGCTTCCACGGGACACACATTTACTGCGTGTCGCTGAGTGACGTGCCAGCGGACACAGCGGAGGCGCGCCCGGTAACGGAGTAACGTTTGCAGGAAAGCGAGAGGTGAGGCGGCGGCAGATATTTGTAGTTGAGAAGAAGAGCCTCGGTCACAGGTGGGGACTCAGCTACAGGTAGCCTCGCGGGAGCTGTCGTGGCACGAGATAGCTGTGAAAGCGCACGCGGGTCATGAGGATTTCTCCGGTCGCTGCTCGGAGCGCCGCGTCGCAGCTGTGAACGAAGAAGAAGAAGAAGAAGAGGAGGCAGAAACCAGAGGAAGAGCCTGACCACTTCTCTGCCGCTCAGCCCGAGAGCAGAGGCAGCATGTCCCGGAGGAAGCAGAGCAAACCCCGGCAGATAAAGCGTAAGCATGACACAAGTTTCCCCTCTTCTTCTTCTTCTGAGTGTTCGTGTGTCGATGCGCCGCACGCGCGTCCCTGCCCGGACCCCCCTCATCGGTGCGTAAATTAGAAAGCACAGCTGACTCTGAAGACTTTAAGTTTCAGATGCAGCTCGTTGTCTCGGGATAACCGGAGGATGTCGCCTCCCCTCCAGCCCCTCCTGCCCTCCTCAGCCTTTATTAAAGGGGCTCGTCGGCAGCTGCCTCCGCGCTGTAAGGCTGTGCAGGAATATCAAAAAGTTTTTCTTTATTACCCTGTGCGGAATGTTTTTGTGCATTGGCAGCTGAAAGTGTGGCCGGGGCTTCCTGTTTAATTCTGTTGTGGAAACGTCAGTGTTCTCGGCAAAAAGCCGATGTGAGCTGAGATAAAGCAGCGATCCGATGTGAGCGCAGATAAAGATTAAAATTGGATCTTTTTTATTTGTTTTCTGTCTGAGGCAGCGCCAAGGCCGCCGCTGCATCCCCCCCTCCTGGCTTTTCACTTCTCCTTCCTAGAGATGGGGCGTGAGATAGGCCGCATGGCCGATCTCTCCCGCTGATAGCTGCTTACAATTGGATCTGTTTTTTCATCTATCCTTTTAACTCAATAATGCATCTCGGGGCCGCTTGAAAGGCCCTTTTCTTGGTCTGGCGCTTGGCTGGTCTCCGTGCTTGACGAGCTCTTCCTGTTTATAAAACGTGTGAGGGTTTATCGCTGCTAACTGATGTTCAGAGTTGATATAAGAGCATATTAATGATGTTGTGATTAACCTCTGCTCCTGCTCTGCGGGCCTGTTGCACACCGAGAGGATGGTGGGGACTCTCAGTGTTAATGTGGTTCTGCTGGAGAAGAACAAATGTTTGGGAGCAGCAGCTGGAAACCGTGACATAAGTTTGTTTGGCAGCGTCGTCACTGATTGTGTCACGGTGTCCTGTTTAACCTAAAACCTCTCCAAAACCTGTGGATCTTTTTAAATGAATCAAACAGTTGTTCTTGTGCAGAAACCAAACATACCAACCACAGAGAGGCCGGTTATTAGAAAGTTCAAATGCTAACCAGCCATGCATGCAAGGACTTCTTTGCCAAACTACAACATCATTGTAAACTGATAGTAATTAATAGACCTGGAGACGGTCTGACGTGTCTCTCCTTAAAATCCATGTGAACGAAGCCAAAGGAAAATATTAACATGGCAACTTCATCACACGTCTTCCTCTTGTGATGTATAATCGACACAGTAATGACACATATTGACATTTTATCCCAGCTTGCAGGTGCATTGGACTCACCAGAGTCAGTGGTGTCATTACAGTTTGTCCATTTGTAAACATCAGTAACGCCACATGTCGGCTGTATTTTTATTGTTATTGCTATTATCATTTATAATATTATTAGTATTAGTTTTATTAGCAGGCAGATTAGCTTTATTCTGTCCAAAGTCCTGGAAGCAAGTCTTGACCCCCCCACACACACACACACTCATTTTGAAGCCGCATCTAACTTCATTCGTTGCGAGGACTTAAAAATAAATCTGATCTTTAATAAATAAATGCGTAAAGTTTGCTGGCTTTTCGTGAAAATAAGGTTTCATTGAGTGTTTGCTCCTGTGGAATTCCTCCTCCGATTTCTACCACTCTGAGTGCCACGTCTCTAATTTATCTTGGGTACATCAAGTTCCAGATTCAGATTTTGTTGCTGTGCTTAGACTCTGTTCAGTCGGATTCATCTAGTCCAAAATGGTGTGGCACACTTGGAGTAAAGTTTCTCTTTTTCAGTTTGGATCCAGAAATGCTTTAAGTAGATATTTAAATCAACCGTTTGATGATTAACCTGGACTAATGAAGGCAGATGATGATGATGATGCCTTCAGTACCTGGAGAATACAGTTGGTGGTAGCTGTTTGTGTTCTAATTCATCCACGGCATCCGTCTTGGTCGTGGATTTCCATCAGGAATTTCTCTCGATGATGCCTAACCCTACCACCCTTACGTCGGTTCCCATAGAGAGGCAGTGAGCTCCCAGCAGGCACCTCCAGTAAGGCCAGCAGCGAGGCCTGGAGATGTATTCCAGACCCCAAGGCTGATAAACTCAGGCTAGACCCGGTGTGTATGAGACAGCGTGTACATGTGCGCGTCTCAGGGGTGTCATGGCCATCTTTATCAGCGCTTCTGGTCCACCGTGCTTCCCTGTGCACCAGGCCCCGGCTGTGGTCGAGGCCGGCCAGGCTCTCAGCCCCGTGACTCTCTTGTGATTTGGCAGACATTTTGATAGGAAAGAGTGAGGAGTGATAAGGATTTTGTTCAGCTGGGGTGTGTGTGTGTGTTTGGGGGGGGGTTCATGAGGTAGGGGCTGCTACCACTACTGTTACTGTTGAACCACCATGTTGTTTTGAGCATGCTGCTTGCTGATAGTGATATGACAAATTCCAGCCAGGTCACGGTGGTGTTGGGTGGTTTCATTGTTGAAACTGACTTTGTTTCCTAAAATGATTCACGCCTTCGATAAGTCGTTTAGTTACTCATCCAGCTGGAGGTAAACCACTCGGTTTTTAACGTTGCATTTGGAGCTACAAATAAACTCGTGTTGACCTGCTCTCAGTACAGCTCTTCCTGTTATTGTAAAAGTTATTTGGTGCCCAGTTAAAGTTTTCAACAGACGGAGACGTGAGAGCTTGACGCTGATTTACAGTTGGTGTGTTTCCATCATCTGAGTGCAGCTAATGGCCGAATTCTCCTGACGTCTCCTGAAGTTTGTTATAGTTTCTCACGTTGTGGATTTAGCCGTTTGCATTTTGGATTGCTGTTTGTGTGATGGAAAGAGGAGCGCTCGTGTGTGATGTTAGTGTAACTGCATCAATTTGGCTAATGGCTAAATGTTTAAACGTAGTGTGATGAAGAGCTGAAAGACTTCACAAGCGGTAACTTTTTTATTTATTTTATTGGATGAAGATGTCTGGAAAAAATGCAATTTATATAGATGTTCTTGGCCCCGGCCCTCAGTTTTGTAGTATGATGAACTATTGTCGTCAGTACATCGATTCTTCAGTTAACCTGCTCAAGTTTGCTCAGTTGAACATTACAGGTGAGCTGGCAGGTGAAACCTGGTCCAGCTGAGTTGGATGTTTGAGTTCTTGCGTAAACCTCCAATAGGTGATGCTTTAAAAGGTTCAGGGCTGCAGAGTGTGTGTGAAAAATGCACTAAATGAGTCAGTGGGGATACTTTGAATGAGCCCGGTGGTTTTGTATGTGTGCAGATTATAATCCAACTCATTAGTGGTGCAGTTACTGTAAAGCAAAACTCAGGTGGTC